TAGGCATAAACATTCGGAGGTCCGCGCGGATGTTTCGGATCGGCGCTGGACTCCCTCCCTGGCCCCCAGCGCCGATCCGAGGAGTCCGCGCGGACTTGCGAGCTCTTCATGTTCATGCGACTGTTTTGTTCCTGTGACTGTGGCTCAAATGCGGGGTGCAGAAGGGGGCCCCTTAGGGCCCCTCTTGGAGCCAGTCGGTGCACAACAGGCGCCCTGAAGGGTCCCTTCACCCCCTATTTGGGTCATTCTTCATTATCATTAAGTCGGGCGTGTCCCTCTACAGAAGAAATGTGTAAACAAGGGCCAAAAATAGTCTGGGGACGATCTTTCCACCATGTGTTGGTTAGTTGCCCTAGTTGTTTTGGAGCACTTTTTTTATTTTTCGTCCAGAGTCCGCCTGTAGGAGGACACGCCCGACCTAACAATACGATGGGGTCGTTGGTTAAGGAATGCGCCAAGAATGCTGCAGACCCTGGAGGATTCCTTACTTTAAGGGTAGCTCTTTGGGAGATGTTATATAGGATCGGGAGTATAGCTCGCGCGCCGTTGCCTTTGGCTCAAGGCACGCGCGCCCTATTTGCCCGGACACTGCTTGTGTTCGCTATGTGCTGGAAAGATCATTACATCGATCTTATCCTATATTATCCGTCCATTCCCCTTACTGAACCACCACAGTACGGCACCGGACGCTATTTGCCATCCGCTTCCCATGGAATCGGATGCTATTTGACTTACCATAGTCATTTCAGACTTTGTTATCTGATGAAGACGGCGGTGATATCCATTGCCAAGCCTCGGTTGGAGTTCCACCGGCCTCGAGACCCTGGATTCCTTGTCTAAGGGTTCTTTATCCAATGTCCCCACCGTACCACTCGCCCGAATCAACATACAATTTTGGTGGTCCGCGCGGGTTTCTTAGATCTGCGCTGGAGCGCCTTCGGCGCCGCCCCTGGCGCGCTCCCCGCGCGCCAGGCAGGGGTATCCAGCTCAGATCCAAGAAATCCGCGCGGACCGCCAAAAGTTTGTGCTTATGCCTTTTTGTGGCTCCTCTCTGGAGGAGTACTTCGACGTCTTCTACGGCATCAGCCCTCTGTACTGGGGCATGTGCGCGTTCGGCATCGTCTTCTACGGCGCCGTGCTGAAGAACGCCATGCTCAAGTACAACACGCCCTATGGCACCACCACCAACCCGGACGCCAAGCCGGTGGTCACCGGCAAGTTCGTGGGCATGGAGGTTGAGACCGGGAATACGGAGAATTACAACCTCAAGGGCAAGGACTACATCAACAAGTGAGGGCCTGTCGTTCGCGCGCGCGGCTGGAACATATAGTACCACGCTTGCTGCAGGGCGGTTTTCGTTTTCAATCCAGGCGCATTTTCGTCTCCTCGAGACGAGATCCTCCCCCTCCTCCTCTTCCTCCTCCTCCTTCTCCTCCTCTTCCTCCTCCTCCTCATCCTCCTCATCCTTCCAATTCTCCCACTCCTCCCCCATCCTCGTCCTCCTCCTCCTCCTCCTTCCCCTTCTCCTCCTCCTCCTCCTCCTCCTCCTCCTCCTCTCCTCCTCCTTCTACTCCTTGGCCTGTGCTTCAGATTCCTCCTGCAAGCCTGTCCAGCCCCGCTCCCTTTGGCATAGCGGCCGGGGCAAATATTCCCATCCCGCGCGCGACAGACGGCGCGAATATTGTGTCTGTGCAGCCCCGTGAGCATCGCTTGCAGCACAAAAAAACAGAGATGGCAACAGAGATCGTTTTCTTATTCATTGTTCTGCCGATCGGCGCGGGCCCTCGGACCCGTGTAGATCTTGGCTGTTGTGGGCGCCTGTTTCAGGCAGGTGGAGCCTCCTCCAAAGGACGCACTGCCACAGACAGTCGCATTAAGCAGAGGTCCGGAGCCAGAAACCCCCGCCTCCCCCCCCCTCCGCCCAATGTCGAAACGCCGAGTAAGAAGACGCTCACTTGTGGGTCCAGGGCTTCCGACATCGGCGCCCCGACGCATGCCGAGGCGCGCGACAGACGGCGCGAGTATTGTGTCTGTGCAGCCCCCTGAGCATCGCTTGCAGAACCACCAAAAAAAACAAAGATGGCAACAGTGTGGGGTGTGGCCGCGTTGGCGCAGGGCAGCCGTGTCCTCACACGTGAGGCCCCCTCGCGTTCGCTGTTCGGTTCGGCCCGACCGCGGGGCATCCTGCGTACTGGCCTCCATGCTCCTCCTCCTCCTCCTCCTCCTCCTGCTCCTCCAGCTCCTCCTCCTCCTCCTTTTGCTCCTCCTCCTCTTCCCCCCTTCCTCCTCCTCCTCCTCCTCCTCCTCCTCCTCCTCCTCCTCCGTAGCCATTTTGGCTCAAGCCATTGGGCGGAGCTGGCAGCGGCAGGCCGTCCTCGGGCGGCGGGGGCCTCGCGGTGCGCGATGGTTTCGACGCAGGCGGCTGTTTTGGCGGGCAGCCCAGCGGCGGGGGCTGCCTTCGGTGCCATTTCGGCGGCTATCGAGATGGGCGTCTCGACCAAGTGCTTGACGTCGCTCGTGGCTGCTGCAGTTCGAGGCGCAGTTCAAGGCGCCGCGGCTACGGCGGCCGCAGAGGACAAGATCGACCCGCTCGACGAGGTGCAGGCTGTCGTCAACCTCGTGGGCGACATCGCGGGCGTGGAACGGACGGTCAAGGACGCCAAGGAGGTCCTGTCTAGCCTGGGGGCTCCTGGCCGTGCCGTGGCGGGCAGGCTGGGGCGAGCCTCCAGGTACCGGAACGCGACTGCGCACCCGGCGTGCGCCGGCCTCGCCGCGGCGGCGGGCCAGGTCATCGCCAGTGCCGGACCACAGTTGAAGCAGGGCCTGATGAAGAAGAACTCGTCCATCGAGAGTTCGACCGACGTGCCCGAGAGCGAGGACGGCGCCCTGGTCGGCTCGGTGGCGGCCGACATCGAGGTGAAGCCGTTGAAGGAGCTGTCGAAGGGCACGGCCGAGACGGCTCAGCAGCTGCAGCAACAGTTCACGGACCTGCAGCTCAAGATGGAGGAGGCTTCGAAACTGCTCGGCGTGTACCGCGTGCAGTCCGAGGACAGTAACAACCTACAGACTGATGCGAAGGAGGCGGAGAAGGTCATCGAGACCCTGACGGAGTACGAGCTTTGCCTCGTGGACTCGGCCATGCAGAATGCGCTCGAGATCGGTTTGGAGTGTACGGACGAGCTGCGCAGCCAGTTCGTGGACAGGGTTCTCCAGGAGCGCTCGAGTTCGGCTACGTGATCAGCAAGTGCGCGCTGATCAACAAGTTTTCTCCTTCCTCCAGGTCGGGGGAATCTGGAGTGCCCCGCATTCCTTTTCCCCTCAGGCGTGAGGCGGCCCGCCGACGGCCGCAGTTCCCCTTTTTGAAGAGGGTTAAAACTGAGGCCTCAGTTTTAACCCTCAAGCGGGCCAGGTCACCGAAGGCCATGGCGCCGTTTGTGGACGTACGCTGTCCTTTCATCTGATCGCTCCTGATCGCTCCTCCTCCTCCTCCTCCTCCTCCTCTTCTTTCGTCCTCCTCCTTCTCCTCCTCCTCCTCCACCTCGTCCTCCTCCTCCTCTTCCCCCCCTCCTCCTCCTCCTCCTCCTTCTCCTCCTCCTCCTCCTCCTCCTCCTCCTCCTCCGCCTCGTCCTCCTCCTCCTCCTCCCCTCCTCCCCTCCTCCTCCTCCTCTCCTCCTCCTCCTCTTCCTCCTTCTCCTCCTCCTCCTTCTCCTCCCTCTCCTCCTCCTTCTCCTCTTCATTCTCCTCCTCATCCTCCTCCTTTTTCACCCCCCCCCTCCTCCTCCTCTTCTCCTCATGATCGTCCTGCTTATCCTCCTCCCCCTCCCCCTCTTCCCTGGCCTCCCCCTACGCCCCCGCCTCCCCCACCCCCATCTCCTCGTCCTGCAAATGCCCCGATCGAGAGGACAATCAAGCCTTACACGGATGCTGATCAGTTTTGTGTGCCCAGCGAAGGTAGTTTTCGCCCTCCAGGGGCTTTCCAGCCCAAATGGCATTGCGCATAAGCATCGGATGAAAGTCACTCGCATGCGAGCGACCTTCACCTGGTGTTTCTGCACCACCCCTCAAAGGCGGTGGTGAGCTCCCGTATCCCCAGCAGCGAGCGGCTTGAACGAGATGCCTGTTGCTGCTGCCAGTCGCAGTGTCGAACATGTGGCTGGCGTTGCGCGTCTCTGGTGGGTGCTTCTTTTGCACCCCATGCAGAGTGGCGGGGCCCTGCTTGTGGATTTTCCCAGCGCGGCAACCATCCGATAGCGGCGCCGAAGACAATACGGTGGGGGCGTTCGCTAAGCAATGCGCCCAGGAAACCGCAGACCCTGGAGGACTCCTTATCCGATGACGGCAGCGGTGATGTCTATGGCCGATCCACGATTGGAGTTCCACCAGCTTCCAGACCCTGGATTCCTGGCCAATGACCCCGCCGTGCATCCCTGAACGGCCAGAGACCAAGTCGGCTGTGATCCTTCGCCAGAGCGATGTCTGGTGCGGGCACTTTGCGGCCCCCAGATGGCTGCAATGCGATGCGCCGGCAGCGGCTCGCGCGCTCCAGTTCGGCCTTTTCCGCGGCCCCCGAACGGCGCGCACCCAAGGTCACTCTTGCCTGTAGGTCACTTTCGCGTGTAGCCGACGAACGAAAGAACGATCAAGAGAAGGAGAGAGTCAACCAGTGGCTAAGCGTCCTGGCTCGCCTATGAGCCACCCAAAGGATGTTCGAAACACCTTTTTGTGGCTTGCGCGAAATGCTCTCATAACATTTCTGGCTAAGACTTTTTTGCTTTTAATGGGGGGGTTCTGAGGACAAGACTTCCGGGTTCGTGTTCTAAGACAATTGTGAACTTTTTTTGGGGGGGGGTTCTGAGGACATGTCGTGGTAGTCCTATAGGAATGCCGGGACGGTCGGTCCCTGCTCAAGAGAGGAAAGAGTCAGGAGCGGCAGTCACAGTTGCACGTCCCGTCCCCCACCTCTGAAGCCAGAGCCGTGCCGCTGCGGGACCGCTGCGGAGGCGAGCGGCGAGAAGAGCAGAATCTTGGAGTCCCCGCTGATCGGCGACAGCCTGGAGGTGTAGGGGAACTCAGAATGGCATAAACACAAAAGCTCGGAAGCCCGCGCGGATGTCTTGGATCCGCGCTGGCTCCCCCCCGGGCGGCGCCTCCGGCGCCGCACCTGGCGCGCTCCGCGCGCCAGGGAGGGTGGGGACTAGCGCCGATCCGAGAAATCCGAGAGGACCTCAGAGTTTTTCTGTTTGTGTGATTTTTTGTTTCATTCATTGTTTTGCCGATCGGCGCTGGCCCCCAACCCCCCCCCTGGAGTAGATCTTGGCTTTTTGGGGCGCCTGTCTCGAGCAGGTGGAGCCTCCCCTCAGAGGACCCAGTGCTGCAAACATTCGCACTGAGCAGAGGTCCAGAGCCAGATCCCCCCTCCCACCCCCTGCCGCCCAACCCAGAGATCCGATGTCGTGATTTTTTCCCATGCGGGGTCCTCGGAAGTCTCGACCCAGGACCGGTTTTTCATCCTGAGTCGTTTTTCCAAAGTCCCGAGGCCCGGCGAGTGCTCCTGGGGGCCGAAATTTGGGAAAAACCTTGGTCCTGTTTTTTTTCAATGCGCTGGACCTTTGGGAGTGTCGAAGCGCCGAATGAACAGCGCTCACCGTGTCATTCTTCGTTCCCCCGAGGTGACCCCCAACCTCCTCAAGGCGGCGTCCGACCTCGGGGCGGCGCAGGAGGGGCTCGACGCTGCCGCCAGGGCGCAGGCCCAGGCCGGAGGAGGGGAGGGCTCAACCCCGCATCGGGCGCCGCCCCCGGGCGCTCCGCTCCTCCCCCCGGAGGAGGAGGAGGAGGAAGATGAGGAGGAGGAGGAGGAGGAGGAGGAGGAGGAGGAGGAGGAGGAGTTGTTGAAGGAGGAGGAGGAGGAGGAGGAGGAGGAGTTGTTCAGAACGATCCGAGGCAGGAATTCATATAGAGCCACCTGCCTGGAGGGTCAATTTTCGGGGACATCGGCAGGGGGTGGACATGGACATGTTCGGGCCCCCGGGGGCCAAAATATATCCAGGTCCACCGCCCGCCGGGCCACCAGGACGTCTCTTTCCAGGCGGTGGATCTGGATAACTCCCCGCCTCGCAAACGAGGGTTTCCGCAGGCTCTCAGTTTGTTCAGAACCAGGGTTTCGGCAGGCCTTCAGGGCCCCTTCGCCTCGAAGAAGAAAAAACGCCACAAGTATAAACTTTTGGCGCTCCGCGCGGATTTCTTGGATCCGCGCTGGCTCCCCCCGGCGGCACCTCCGGCGCCGCCCCTGGCGCGCTCCGCGCGCCACGGAGGGGGGTCCGGCGCAGATCCAAGAAATCCACGCGGAGCGCCAAAAGTTTATGTTTATGCTGTTTTGTTTTCTTCTATTTCAGGCCCCTGATCGGTCACAGACCGAGAGAGACCGAAGAAAGATGGGGTCTCTAGGGCTCTGGTCTTGACGTTTGGCGAAGTGTGCTTATTTTGCGACGTCGGATCTCAGGGTCACCCTCCCCGTCAGAGATGGGGGGAGCAGCCAGGTGAGGATGAAGGAGGGCTGGCATTGAGACAACCCCCACCAGCACAAGTCGACTAAGGAAATATGCACGGGTATTCTCGACAGTGGCATTCGAGTGTGCTTGCGAAGTCCCCAGTCGGATATTCGATAATCGACCTACGGCTCGCCAAATACATTCAGTTGGTTTTGGACATCGATTAGCTACACCGTTGGAGTGCACTGGGAACGCAGTGCCGTGCTCACGTGGAGTGCCCCTGACAGTTTTCACTAAAGGTTGTTTTGCTCAAGGGGCCTCTGTCGAGGAGGGAAGAGACGGGCCTCCTAATTCCTTCCCCTCCCCGCTCCAAGAGCCCAGCCAGCACGCCCGTTCCCCCATACAGGGATGGTTGGTGCCTACTTGTTGCGTGCAACGACCGCCCCGATCAAAGAGCAATGCTCGCGCGAGACCCGCGCTCGCCGCTTCGCAACAACCAGTGGCGAGGCGTCCCAGCTTGTCTGGAGGCTCACCGAAGAAGGTTCTCACACCCTCTTGTGTTTCGCAAGAAGTGTCTTAGAGCTTTGCCGATTGAGAACGTTTTGCTTTTACACATCGACTCTCTGTTTGACTTGTTCCCATAACATAAAGTGGTTCTAAGAGCACGTCGTGGTAGGTCAAGGGGATGTCTAGGGCAGTCCCTGCTCGAGTTTGGGGAGGATGAGGGCCAAGACATGCGACGTTTTGATGTTTTCAATGCGGGGTCCCTGGAAGTCCCGACCCTTGCCCTGGCACTGGTTTCTCATCCTGAATCGTGTTCTGACGGTCCCGAGGCCTGGCGAGGGCCCCCCCGCGGCCGAAATCGACCAGAAACCTCCCGTTCTGACTTTTGTTTTTTTGTTCGCCTCGAGCACGTCTTGGGAGGATGAAGGGGGGAGGGATGAGGGGCGAGGTGGCCCTGCATAGCTGCTCGGTCCCCAGAGGTCGAGGCCCAGGTGGCGGCCGCCAAGGAGGCGGAGGAGGCTTGGCTGCGGAACACCGCGGGCGGCCGCTCGTGCGTCGACCTCCCAGGGGTGCGGCTGCGCAGCCAGGGCCCCGAGAACGAGTTCCGCCGCGTGATGGAGCTCCCTCTTGGGTGGGTGGGTGGGGGCCTCCTCCTCCTCCTCCTCCTCCTCCTCCTCCTCCTCCTCCTCCTCCTCCTCCTCGTCCTCCTCCTCCTGCTCCTCCTCCTCCCCCTGCTCCTCCTCCTGCTACTGCTCCTCCTCCTCCTCCTCCTCCTCCTCCTCCTCCTCCTCCTCCTCCTTCTCCTCCTCCGTAGCCATTTTGGCTCAAGATGCATGGTTCCTCGGAGGAACAAGTGGATACCGCTAGTCCGCGGCAGTCAAGACCCTTGGTGGTCTGGCAGAGTTCGTTCCTCACACCGACGCTCGCGCCCACGGGTAAACGGAGGCCTTTCCCGTTCCTGTGCGCTCGATCGTCCCAGTGGTCATGGGGCTCCCAGATGCTGCCGCGCTGGCCAGATGCGCACAGGAGATCGAAGATATGCCCACCTTCCCTGATGATGAGCGTGCTGATGGTCATCGGGTCCAAGGCTCGCCCGAACGCAAGTGCCCGCGTACCGAGGAAGGCAAGGGTTCCTCTAGCAGTGGCAAGGGTGTTGCCGGCCTTGCCTCCCGTGCAGCAGCTGTTGGGGCCGCGCTCGTCTTCGGCCGCCACGAGCTGCAAGCGGGCACTGCGACTCCTCCTGCTAACGGTGATCCTCCTCCTGCTGCTGGTGTCCGCGCAGGGGATCACTCATGGTGTTCATCCGCCACTCATGGCACCCTGGAGTACTCCGACGAGTACATCAAGTCTGTGGTCGCCGACGGTGTCGCATCCCAGTTCAATGAGTTACGCACGGAACTTGAGAATCTTGTCGCCTCGACGGTTGGAGACACGGTCAAAGCAAGCAATGCCAATATTCTTCGCACCTTGGATGTTCTCAAAAAACAAGTGGAAGAACAACCTGCAGAGATTGATCAAAAAACCATGGGAGTGTTCAGACCTCAACTGGATGAACTCTCGCGGAAGATGCAGCGCCAGCTTGATGATGTTACAGGCAAGGTTGCGACACTCGACATCGAGTTGGACTCACACACGGAGCAGCTTCGCCAACTGCGTGCGGAGATTGCTGAGCTGCGTGATGGACTGCACATGGCCAAGCGACAGGAAGCCGCCCCGTCGCTTCCCGCCAGCTTCGACCGCCAGAGACCCAGCTGTGGTGGTTGCGATGTGCATCAAGATGGTGGGACTTCCACAAGTCCGTGACGTGTTGTCGCCGTTATTCGCTGAGCTCGGTCTCGAAGCTGACCAGTACACTCTCTCATGCCCGACGCCGACGCCTGCCCGCAGGTTCCTCATTGAGTTCAACGGGGCCACAGGCCTCGCTTCTAAGAAGGTCGCTAAGGTCCTCAATAATCCTCGCTGCAACGACCAGTGGGGAGTTTTCAACGTGCAGGCCACTGGTTCAGCTGCTGATGCCCGCCTACACCTGGGGCCTGACAAGTCCCCGCGCCAGGTCAAGACAGAGATGGTACTTCGCAAAATCCGTGGAGCATTTGCTGAGAAGTTTGGTGCGAGGTGGTCCGTCGACCGTGAACGTGGCATCCTCAAGAGCGGCTGGGCCAATGTGTTCAAGATCCAGGCGAACCCTGAGGGCGCCCCTTATGGCGTGCAGTTCAATGAGGAAGGCATCTTGGACCTCTCGCTCGCGCGTGCGGACGTGCAGCAGGTGGTGGGCGAGCTCGCTGCGCCCCCTGCTCCGACGAAGTGGTGTCTTTGACTGCTTCTTGCAGCTCTTTGACACCCCCTCCTGTGGGACCGAGAATGAATCCATGCGATTCATCACTTGGAATGCTCGCGCTCTGTTACAGTACCGAGGAGCAAAGAGCAGACTCAAATCGTCGTATTTGAAGAAGCTTCACTTGCCCAGGTCTACCCTCGCACTTCAAGAAGTTCACCAAGACCGCCGTCAACTTGAAGACTACGCGTGCCGTCTCCATCGCGATGCTGTGGTTCACGCCTCGTTTTGCCCAGCTGATGGTGGGGGATCGGCCGCGGGAGGTGTCGCCGCTATTCTTCCGAAGCTCGCCTTCGATCGTGATGTTACCGGCAATGCCTCGGCCGTCGTGGAAGGAAGGGCCCTTCGAGTTGACATCGTCGGGCAAGGGTTCCAGCTGGTGCATTTCAATATCCACAACCATGGGCTCAGTGGTCGTCAGGTCGACGAGATATGTGCTGAGATCGACGCTGCTCGGGCGCGTGCGGCGGCTGATCCCCTTCGCTTTTTGGCGGTCGTGCAGGGTGACCTCAACCTTGGCCCTGAGGAGGCATTGCTCTTCCATCGCCCTGAGCCTGCTCGCGCCACGGACCCTCGTAATCATCGGGCTATGGCCGCTCGGTGGCTGAGGGCGCTGGGCTCACTGCTTGAAGTGTCGCTTGAGTCGCCGACGCACTACACGAAGGATACCAACTCGGTCAGTTGCCTAGATCGGTTCTTCTGCTCGGTGCCTGGGTGGGTGTTCTGTCAGCTATGTGCGGAGTCTCCTACCATTGGGGAACCAGAGGTGTTATCTGGGTCCCAGATATCAGACCACGCTGCATTGCTAACGGCACTCGGTCAACGTCATGCACGGCCGCGAGCGGAGCAACCCATACCTCGCCATGTCTTCGAGCGCCATCCCTTTCGGCAGCGGGTTGAAGGCATGTTCAAGGACGGTGATGGTGCTGAGTTGTTGCGCTCTACGTCGGTCTACCAGGAGCACTTCAAGGGCATGTTGAAGGAGGTTGCCAGAGAAGTTCGTGGTTGGTTATTCATCTCCCATCCTGCTGGAGATGAAACTGCGTTGCTGGTCGCTCGGGGATGCGCCCGTGCGGCGCGGCGGCAGGACTCTCGTCTTGCCCGTCGCTTGGTGGAGACATCGGCCACCGCAGCCAGCTTGCTTGACGTCGAAGGCCCACAAGTTGCTCTTCGACACCCTGAATCGTTCCACATGTGGACGGACGGAGTTCACATGCGGCTCCTGGAAAAAGAAATACGCGCTGCGACTGACTCTACTGCAGGTATTCGATCGTGTCGACCGCCCCCCTCGTTTCGTTGTCGCCAGGTGTTGGAGCGACAAGCAGCGATCTGGGCCCCTTTCTCTCTGAGGTTGGTGTTACGTGCTGTGCGTGATGGCCCTCGGTTAGCATAATCACCTGGGGATCGAGTCGATGCCCTCACCGAGTACTGGCGCCCTTTCTTCTCGCGATCTGATGTTGACTTGGAAGCTGCTCAGAAATAGATCGAACATCAATGCCCGTCACCTGTGCCCCCCGACGTTCCTCCCCCGTCGAACGCTGCTATTCGGAATATTGCCACTTGTGCCCGGCACTCTGCCCCTGGGGCCGACGGGCTACCGTACGCGGCCTGGGCGGCTGCCGACTGCTGCCTGGAAGTGTTATGCCTCATGATGGACTGGATCTTGCGTGGCCAGTCCCTCTTCGATGCGGCCAGCGTTACCCTCCAAGCGCACTTGCCCAAGGGATCGGAACGCGACGACATGGCCTCTGGAGGCTACATCGGATCCGCTGATAAGATCAGAGTCTTCGGGCTCCGCAACACCGACTTGAAAATTCTGACGTCTGCCGTGAACCGATCACGCAGGGGAGTTGTGAACGCCGTCGTCCCTCAGTCGCAGCGCGGCTTCGTGCAGGGCCGTAACTTCGGGTACAACATCTTAGAGTTAGATGGCTTCAGTCGCATTGCTGGGGCCCATCCGATGGCGCCGACCTGGTCACCGCTTCTGGTCTCGTTCGATTTCGGCCAAGCCTTCCCGAGCCTCTCCCAGGAGTTTGTGCTGCTCTTCCTGGCCCACCTGCGCTTGCCTGCACCTGTCCTTTACTTCCTGGCCTTGCTGTACTCTGCTATCGAAGGCGTTGAGGCTCACAGTGGCCTGCCCCGCTCTGTTTACTGGCTGAGGCCTGGGATCATCCAGGGCTGCGGCCTCTCTGGGACGCTTTACGCTCTGTGCGCGGCCCCGTTCCTGGTTGACCCGGGACATTCCCTGGAAGATGCTGGGCTTGGTCTCGCGAGGGCCTGTGCCGACGATATTGGGGCTGTCTTGTTCGAAGCTCGGGGTCTTCAGGTGCTCTATCGTGTGATGGCAACTACGAGGCATCTCACGGGGCTCTGCTTTCAGGTCAGCAAAAGCAAGGTCTCCCCGTTGCACGCGGCGTTCGATCCTGACTTGCTCGCTAGTGCCCGTGAGCTTCTCCGTCGGTTGGTTCTCTACTGGCAGGCGTTTGAGATTGTTGCGCACCTGATGTACCTCGGCGTTCTCTTGGGACCAGATGTCACGATACAAATGCAGTGGGATGCGGCGAGGATGAAACTAAAGCTACGTGCCGGGCTTCTTGGGTCAGGCTCAGCCCCTTTGGGGATCAATGGCGTGCTCTACCGATCGCGGGCTCTCCCCGCCCTGTCCTACCTGGCCCAGTTTTACCCCCTTCCTCCCAGGATGGCCACTTTCGAGCTCTCTGTGCTTGCTCAAACGTTCCGTGCTCCCTTGGGTACTCTACCTGCCATCGGCTGGGCCCGGCTAGCCGACTGGGGAGGCCCCAAAATCCCGCTCGTGCTACACTCGTGCGCTGCTGCTCTTGCTCGAGCTGCCGTCATCACGTTCGGCGAGCATTCTCACATCCGGTCTACTATTTCACTTGCTACACAGTCTTGGAACTCTGATATCCTGGATGGGCGTTGTGATGACGCCTCATTAGCTGCCATCCGACCTCGGCGGGACTGGCTCTGCGATGCGGGGCGACACTGGAAGATGCCACCCATTCTGCTGACATGCTCTCGGCTGCAAGAGGGATCGGCTCGAGTTGGATATTCATCGGAAGTTCTGCGATGCTGCACTACGGCGATCTCCACGGAGTTGCTAGTCACTGGGCGAAAGCTCAAGTACCAACGGGCAGCCAAAGCTGCGCTCTTCGAGCAGTTCGTGACCCCCTACCCGCTCCACACGCTCTTCGAGACCAGGCTCGCCCGCTACTTCGACATGTACGAACCCTTCCTACACCGTGTGCCGTGGGAGGCTATTCGGA